AGATTTACAGTTAGGTTTAGGGTTAGGTTTAGGGTTAGGTTTAGGGTTAGGTTTAGGGTTACGTTACAGCGTTCTTTTGTCGGTGCGCTTTTGTCGGTGCGCTTTTGTCGGCGCGCTTTAGGGCTAATTAGTCGCTAATTCGTCACACGGTTTTGTCACCGCGCTTTAGACACCGCGGTTTAGTCAGGCGCGCTTTTGTTTTGCGCGCATTTGTGGTGGAACCTCTGATTATATCTCAAAGTTGGCTGTGCTGCCTGTGGCTTTTAGGAGATGTAGTTCAATAACAACGGTAAATCCTCTTGTTCTTTAAGTTAATGAAAATGTTCAGGGCATGTTTGAAAAAAATGTGTGGGCTTAAAAGGGTTGTGGGTTTCACTTTCTCAGTGACATGTCTTTATGTTACATGCCAGGCTACCTTCTAAAAGTGTAGGAGATTTCATAAATCATTTGTGAAGATTGCTATTTCACCTTACCTAAAGTAGTTTTTTGGATCCCATCTGTGTTTATGAGCTCCAAGAATATATCAATTGTCAACAAGGCCAAAACAGTTACTGAAGTGTATTACTTTTGCTGAATCTGCTTCAGTAAGAGAATGTTGATGGCATTTACTAGACAAATCTTATTTAATCATAGTATAGCCATAAATTGCTAGAAATGACATACCAGAAATGGCAATGGAAGAAAATTAAAATGTATATAAATCTATTTTTTCAAAACAAAATCTAGTTTATTTAATGTTAGAGTTGTCAGTCCAATAGTTGTGTATAGTTGAGATGTTGCAAAGAGATAATCTTTACAGAGACTTACAGCAATAATTACTAGGCAAAAGAGATTAGAGCATTTTTTGTAAATTCAGAGCAGACATAACATTTGGAAGTAGCTTATACAGATGCTTCCCTAATTCACAGTAAGAAGGATGATCAAACTTGCAAAATATGACCAATCTCTACAAAGGTAGCATTGACCTTCATGTGAAGCTGATTTCCTGGTCTGATGTTGACATCAATCTTGCAAGTTTGATTGTCCCACTGACCTTCTTCAGGTTCTTATAGTTCAGTAAATTGGGGTGGGTGGGTGTTGTCTGCCTGAGCTACTTTCAAATGTTATTTCATTGTTTTGGACTTAAAAAATAATACTTCAGGGCCTTTTGGCAATATAAAAATTACAGCAATTCTCATCAATATAATTTCCCTTACTATTCCCTTACAGATATCTTTATGATAAGTTGATACAGAGAGATAAGAGAGAGGGGGAAGGAGATGGAGATGGAGATGGATATAAAATATTTGAACTACCTATAAACAAAACTTATACAAAATGTTTTATAGATGGTACTTACCACTGACGAGATTACCAAAGATGTTTAAAAACATGTTTGCCAAATGCTGGAAATGTAACCAAACAATGGGCACATATTATCACATGTGGTGGTCATGTGTGAAAGCAAAGAAATATTGGACAAAAATACATACATGGTTAGAAAAAATGTTAAAGTTGTGTATAGATTATAAACCAGAAACATTTTGTCAGGTAGAATACCAGAAAAGTATGATAAGGGGAATTTGTGTTTAATACTACATGTTCGAAAAGCAGCAAGGATTGTATTTCCACAGTACTGGAAAAATGAGGAAATATCAAGAGAAAAAGATGTCATTAAAAAAATATTAGATTGGGCAGAAATGGACAAACTGACATTAAAGATAAAAGAAAAAGAAGATACAGAGTATTTTCCAACATAGGATTTGTTTTATAAATAGTTGGATAATAGAGAATTTAGAATTTATTTGTTATTTATAGGCCGCCCTTTTCCCTGAGGGGACTCAGGGCGGCTTACAGTTCATGGG